TAAATCTAATGCTATAATATTTGGCATATAGATCTAGTTATAACTCAATGAGTTAAGTCTAAAAATTGAAAAAAAAATCCGAAATTTTCCTGTCGAAGCCATGGTGATGGCGGCTATTTTGTGTTTTTATTTAATTTATTATAGAGGCATATGTTGGTAACAATTATTATAGATTTCATTTTTAAATTTAAAATACTTTTGTTTTTACAATTTTTTTTTCTGAAAATCGCTTTAAAAAATCGAAATTTGTGTAAACATTACACTATTTTACGTGTATAAGAAAAATCATACACATTTTCAAAAAAATGTTCTATCAGTTTTGTTCCAAGATGGTTGCCTTTACCATTTAGCATAATAATTTACAATGCCAATACAATCGTTGACAGGAATTAACTGGTGTGGCATTTCAGGAAGTTTTCCAATAGTTTTACATTTTAGCCTTGATAGCATACATCTCCCTCACTATTTGATAAATCATTGTTTTGAGAGTATGTTTTACGATTTGGTCTGACCACTCCCCCAATCACACCAAATAATGTAACCTGGCGCGGACCACAGCTCACACCCCCACCAAAATCGTGTAATGCACAAACATTAGCCTCAGTTTATCCAACACCATAATTGTATGTTTATTACCTGCATGTGGACAGTTGACTTTACAGTTAACAGTAATTGGTCTGGGAAAATAAGTAATAGATTTCACAATTGTACAATATCAATAAAATCGTTTAAAATGATGTACTCACATTTAACACAAAAAGTTGATGGTAAATAAAAAAGAAGTTATAAATATTGTTAGTAGTAAAAAATGATTCTACGCTAGGTATGAATACACCTAACAGTATAATATCTCAAGGACCCACGGAGTGGTCAAATGTCAGAGAGTACGACTAATAACCAAAAATATCGAGTTCAAGCCATATTTATCATTCATATTTCGGGGAGATACGACTAATAACCAAATTGTATCGAGTTCAAGCCATATTTATCCTTAATATTTCGGGGAGATACGACTAATAACCAAAAATATCGAGTTCAAGCCATATTTATACTTCATATTTCGGGGAGCGCTCTACTTCCATCAGTACCATGGACTGCCAGGTTAGCTAACTTTACTAACTTTAACCACTTTAACCATTGCACTCCTTACCGAAGACAATCTTCATGATCCACGGTCGTGATATGTGGCTCAGTAGCAGTCCTAAAACAAAAGGCTCATATGTATATGTAGATCATTTACAATTTCTTTTGTCCTGAGATCATTTGTATGTGAGATATTTTGTCTGGGATATTTTGTCTGGGATATTTTGTCTTAGAACAAAGATTTGCTGAGATAAATTGTCATGAAAGCTTATATATATATATATATATATATATATATATATATATATATATATATATATATATATATATATATATATATATATATATATATATATATATATATATATATATATATACACATATATATATATATATATATATATATATATATGTATGTGTGTGTGTGTGTGTTATAGCGAGTGTCCTATTGGAAAAAATATTTGCGGTAAATACCGAACCTCCCCATCCCCATCTCGTCGTTGCAATGATCCAACTCACCAACATTAGAAATCATATTTGAACGCTACAGTATTTTTATACTAGGACCTACCTCCTTGCCGACTACAAAGCTTCTTACAGAATTAGCAAGTCATATACCTGTCATAGCAGTCTAGCAAACATTAATTCGTGCATTGTTGGTATAATTAATTAAATATACACCTACTCTGGGTAAAGGTCAGGTTCTGTGTCTATGATATATTGTTCTCGGATCTCCTCTTGAATTCTTGATAAACGAAGTTGCAAGGGCTTTTCTGCTTTGGTTATTTCCTTCACTGTAATTATTAAGGTGTTTTTAGGGTTGCAAATAAGAAATGTATTAAATAGTGTGACTGGATTTCGATGTTATAATATAACGTTGTATCAAACAATTGTTCTTATGTTATAAGTTAGAAATATAGAAATAGTAGTCAAGATAGTTGTTAAATAAGTTTTAGGAACAAAAGGAATCTGAGGATAACAGAATTTAGATGGTAAAAAATTTAATTTACAATTAATCAAATTTAAACCTAGACACAACATTTTAACTGTAATAATTTGGCATTTGAATATCGCTAATAAATCTATAAGTGTTTCAAAAAAATCAACATCATCTATATCTTATACTAGCTGCATATCCTGCTTCTTTTAAAAATGTACCAACTTGGGAACAGAATAAAACAAAACACAAACACAAATAAGAAAAGAAAACACAAACACAAACGAAAAAACTCGCACCACGCAGACCCAACACAAATACAAACACAAAAGAAAACGCAAACTCGAACAAACACGCAATCGAAACCAAAACGCAACCACAAATGCAAACACAAACGCAAACATAAACATGCGCTTTGAAATGTATAAATAATTATAAAATTTAATGTATCTATTTAGATTCTAGATCTACATCTAGATCTAGAGCTACGGAAAAACTAGACTTTAGTCAGCCGTAGATACCAATAATGAGTTTCTATACTAAACTATTTCAGGCCTTAATTATTTTATATAAATCTTTGTTTGTTTAGCTATATATATATATATATATATATATATATATATATATATATATATATATATATATATATATATATATATATATATATATATATATATATATATATATATATATATATATATATATATATATATACATATACATATATATATATATATATATATATATATATATATATATATATATATATATATATATATATATATATATATATATATATATATATATATATATATATATATATATATATATATAGGGCCTATATATATATATAGATATATATATATAATAACCTTCTCGCTGTTTAACGAGTTCTTTCACATTAACCACCCAGATTCAGACACTTTCACTTTACCAGTACCCTTTTTATTCAGCGTATCCCTTTGAATTTTGTATTTCCACAAATACGCCATGTAATTATTCGTTATATACATTTGTAAAATCCTTCGTTTTTTTTTTGATGTTTGAAAAATTATGTAAAATGTGTTAATGTAGATGTATTTATTTTATTTGGCAAATAAAAGTTTTTTAAATTAAAAAAATATAAATATTAAAAACAAATGTGGTTTATGGTTAAAAATCTATTGCAATAACGGAAAAAAGGACACGCAACTAACTATAGATAGAGAAAGAAAATAATTACATAATAATACATTTTACTACTTACAGAACGGAGAAAATCTGTCCTTGCTTTTTGACATTTTACATAGGAACGGGACAAACAGTAAGAATATGGGAGCAGGATATCGCATCTTGTGATACTTGATCGTAATCCTGAGTGAGTGGCGCCGCCACACCCCCTCGGCTTTCTGTTCGATACGCTTGATCTCTGAGCTGTTAAAATAATGGAGGAAGTTTCTTCATAAATCTTTATCACCCCCCCCCCCCCTCTCTCCCTATCTTTGTATCACCTTTCACAAAAATTCTAATTATGTCTGAAAATTATTTTAATTTAGTCATTTGGCACTCATTACGTCCCTTCAGACATTTCAGAAAACACAATTACTTCCCTTTATAAAAAACATTTTATTGGGAGGGGGGGGGGGAGGATACTTTTTATTATTTTGTTTTGGTGTTGATAAAAAAATACTTACATAATTAGCACGGATTGATCAAGTGCAATGTGGTAGGTACTCTAAATACTGCCTTTTATTTATTTTATACAGAACGTGCTTTTTACTTATTATTTTTTTAAATTAATAGTAGTTAAGAAACCACTTTAAATGTCCCCTAAGTTTACTTCTATTTTTCGGTTGGCGGCAAAGCTTAGGGTATTATCGTCGTTCTCTAAATTGAATCAGGTACGTCCGCCGGTGCCCCGGCTGGGTTCGATTTGGCGCCCTGGGCTATCCTGTTAGTGATTTTTTTTGCATAATTTTGTTTTAAACATTGCGATAAACTATAGATAAGAAAGGTTACTATAGTCTTTAACTGAGTTTAATCCGGGCCTCCTCCGGCGCCCCGACAGGATTCTATATGGCGCCCCTAGTCTTCCCGTGTTAGCTATGGAGCCTACGTTCGTTTGAGTAATGGCGAAAGACTATGAATAAGTTGGGGTACTATAATCGTTTAATAATTTGAATTAGGCGGTTTGGCCGCCGCCCCAACATGGTTTTGGTTTGTTTTATTTCTTTTTTGTTTGCGTTCGTTTTTGTGCTTTGTTTGTGTTTGCAGGGACAGGGGCAGTGGCATGGGCATGGGCATGGGCAGGCGCAGGCGCAGGTACAGGTACAGGTACAGGTACAGGTTCAGGTACAGATACAGGTACAGGTACAGGTACAGGTACAGGTACAGGTACAGGTACAGGTACAGGTACAGGTACAGGTACAGGTACAGGTACAGGTACAGGTACAGGTACAGGTACAGGTACAGGTACAGGTACAGGTACAGGTACAGGTACAGGTACAGGTACAGGTACAGGTACAGGTACAGGTACAGGTACAGGTACAGGTACAGGTACAGGTACAGGTACAGGTACAGGTACAGGTACAGGTACAGGTACAGGTACAGGTACAGATACAGGTACAGGTACAGGTACAGGTACAGGTACAGGTACAGGTACAGGTACAGGTACAGGTACAGGTACAGGTACAGGTACAGGTACAGGTACAGGTACAGGTACATGTACAGGTACAGGTACAGGTACAGGTACAGGTACAGGTACAGGTACAGGTACAGGTACAGTTAGACGTATAGGTAAAGGTACAGTTAGACTTATAGGTACATGTGTAGGTGTAGGTGTAGGTGTAGGTGTAGGTGTAGGTGTAGGTGTAGGCTTAGGCGTAGGCGTAGGCGTAGGCGTAGGCGTAGGCGTAGGCATAGTCGTAGGCATAGGCATAGGCATAGGCATAGGCATAGGCATAGGCATAGGCATAGGCATAGGCATAGGCATAGGCATAGGCAAAGGCATAGGCATAGGCATAGGCATAGGCATAGGCATAGGCATAGGCATAGGCATAGGCATAGGCATAGGCATAGGCATAGGCATAGGCATAGGCATAGGCATAGGCATAGGCATAGGCATAGGCATAGGCATAGGCATAGGCATAGGCATAGGCATAGGCATAGGCATAGGCATAGGCATAGGCATAGGCATAGGCATAGGCATAGGCATAGGCATAGGCATAGGCATAGGCATAGGCATAGGCATAGGCATAGGCATAGGCATAGGCATAGGCATAGGCATAGGCATAGGCATAGGCATAGGCATAGGCATAGGCATAGGCATAGGCATAGGCATAGGCATAGGCATAGGCATAGGCATAGGCATAGGCATAGGCATAGGCATATGCATAGGCATAGGCATAGTGTGATGACGCAAGATTACGTCAGACATGTTTAGCAGATATAGGTTAGCAGAAACAGACTATAGGCCTAGTTGGTTGGTTAGAGAGGCCAATGGGCGCACAGGGCTGTTCGGTCACGTGGGACGGTCAGCTGACCACTGAAGCGTGGGCCACTGTTACGCGAGAGATCATGATTAGCTAGCGAGGGCAGAAGGTGTTAGGTTGTAGAATGGAACAGACGTAGTTATGTAGAGAACAGTTAGAATGTAGATAGTAGTAGGATTGGTCATGGAAGGGCGTGTTAGTAGAGTTAGTAATAGTAGTGGTAGTAGATATTATTTAACAGGCTAGTTAGGTAGAAACTTGATTTTTATAATTTTAATAAAGAACTTTGTATTTGGAACTGAACTGTGTGTTATTGGATTCATTCGTTCCGCCACCATAAAAATCCCCACCCTCACAACTGGTGCAACAAGAAGAAATTCAAACAAGATCCTCATTTCGTACCATCACAACTGGTGGTAACCATCATCAAAACACCTGTACCCTCACAACTGGTGGAGCGCGGGTCGAGGACAGGAAGACAGTATATCGGTTTACTCATGACGGAGTGTACTGGTGTACAGCTTCCTATAACTCAACACAACAGCGGGTTTCTTCAACCGGAACGAGTGGATTACCAATACAAGGGAACAGTCACCATGTTCAAAAAGATAAGTACCTTCCATCATTTTTTTTTAAACGTTTGGGTTTATACCCCTGCTGGATAGTTTGTGCCAGCGGTTTTTCTGCCTTACACATTCTATTGTTACGCACTGTTGCCTTAGTTATTTTGACTTTCCTCAACACACACACATACACATACACAACCATTGAGGCAGAGTTTCAATGCTATAAACAGGGCATACCATTAGACAAAACAGGAGAAGAATTTGAAACATCTTTAGAGAGTAGGTTAGAAAACAAGATAGTCAAGATAGTAAAACATGTCAAGAACAAAAGCAGAGTTAGCGTTAGAATTAGTGAAACGGAAAGTACAGCACATAGATAACACGCAACTGCCCAAGAACACCAACCCCATGACCAAAAATGTGACCCCGACCGTCCCCCTAAAAGATTTTGAACAACGGACAAAAGTGAAGTCAAGTCGAGTTTTTGTGTTGATCTAAGTAGTCGAGGAAATCGACGTGAAGTCGTACAGTCAGAAGTCAGTGTAGTCAAATCTGAAGTCAATTGTGTTATTGAAGTCAGTGAAGTATAAGTCAGAACTGAAGTCAAAGAAGTTATTCGAAGTCAGTCACGTCAGTCAATAAGTTATTGAAGTCATAGTTGAGGTCACAGTGACGTAGTTGAAGTCAAAGAGAAGTCTTTGAAGTCATATTGAAGTTGTTGAAGTCAAAGTGAAGTCTTTGAAGTCATATTGAAGTCATATTGAAGTCGTTGTAGTCATATTGAAGTTGTTGAAGTCAAAGTGAAGTCTTTGAAGCCATATTGAAGTTGTTGAAGACAAAGTGAATTATTTGAAGTCATATTGAAGTAGTTGAAGTCAAAGTGAAGTCTTTGAAGTCATATTGAAGTCGTTGAAGTCAAGGAAAAGTCTTTGAAGTCAAAGTGAAGTCGTCTAAGTATTTGAAGTCGAAGTTTAAGTCAGTCAGTGAAGTCTATTAAGTTTAAGTCAGTCGAAGTCAGTCAGAGGTCTATGAAGTCAGTCGATTTAGTCGTCAAGTGAAGTCGAAGTCGGTCAGTGATGTTTATGAAGTCAGTGAAGTAAGTCGTCAAATTGAAATAAGTCGTCATAGTGAAGTCAGTCAAGCTACTGAAGTCTAAAGTGAAGTCAGTCGTTAATTTGAAATAAGTCGAGTTACTGAAGGCAAAGTGAAATAAGTCAAGTTACTGAGGTCATAAGTGAAGTCAGTCCATTAAGTCATGCCAGCCAGTTTAAGTTGTCAAAAGTCAGATAGTGAGAGCTGCTCCACTATATGATTACGTGTTCAAATGTTATTTGAAACGGCACGATTATTTATATACACTCACATGTCTATTCTTTTTGTGAAGCTATTTCTAAGCTCTAGTAGTGTTTACGTCTATTGAGTTTATTAGGCTTTACAGATTGTTGTTAGATTAGAGTGTACTGATTTTTTTATTTTGGTTATGTTGTAATGTTATTTTTTTATGTTTTTTATGCCGCCAGACAAATGTTCAGCACGTATAAATTTGGGATTGAGGTTTTTTTTAATGGAAGGTACCTCTGTCGGCACATACAAAGGGTAGACGACCCATCGTCCAAGTTCCCAGCGTCGGAACGTTACGTCATCGTTCGACACCGCATCAGACAGCTCCAGTTCATCGTATAACCACTCTACGTGGACGTCTCAACCAGCGTTGAGTTTGTTGCGTCATCACATTGACCAACGAAAGTTACGCCTACACCCGCCTCACGGGAGATTACATCAAAACTCGCCACAACCCACCCACCACAGAGGAACGCCAGCAATTACATAACACTTACACATACACTTACACTGCTCGCAGAGCCCCTTCAACCAGTTACACATTCTACTAAGATTAGCTCAAGGCCAGTACACGACAACCTAGCCAGAACTGAGTTACACATGATTGAATTCACACATGCCATAACATAGACATACATTAGCAAGCAGAGACACCAGTCACACCACAAGATTTCAGGAACTAGAACAATGACATTGTTTTTTTCAGGAACACAGACACAAGATTTTATGTTTTGTAAACTGTGCTGTCCCATTTTGTATTTGATTTACATATTTGATGTTAGGGATAGAATAGAGTAGTAAGATAGATAGTTGTTGATGTATTAGATTAGTAGTAGACGCTGAAAAATATAATTTGTCAGCTACAGAAAGGGAGGGAGATATGTGATGACGCAAGATTACGTCAGACATGTTTAGCAGATATAGGTTAGCAGAAACAGACTATAGGCCTAGTTGGTTGGTTAGAGAGGCCAATGGGCGCACAGGGCTGACCGGTCACGTGGGACGGTCAGCTGACCACTGAAGCGTGGGCCACTGTTACGCGAGAGATCATGATTAGCTAGCGAGGGCAGAAGGTGTTAGGTTGTAGAATGGAACAGACGTAATTATGTAGAGAACAGTTAGAATGTAGATAGTGGTAGGATTGGTCATGGAAGGGCGTGTTAGTAGAGTTAGTAATAGTAGTGGTAGTAGATATTATTTAACAGGCTAGTTAGGTAGAAACTTGATTTTTATAATTTTAATAAAGAACTTTGTATTTGGAACTGAACTGTGTGTTATTGGATTCATTCGTTCCGCCACCATAAAAATCCCCACCCTCACAACTGGTGCAACAAGAAGAAATTCAAACAAGATCCTCATTTCGTACCATCACAACTGGTGGTAACCATCATCAAAACACCTGTACCCTCACGCATAGGCATAGGCATAGGCATAGGCATAGGCATAGGTACATGTAAAGGGTTCTAAGAGAAAGTCCAGAAAGACACTTGCCAAAATACGAATTTGCCCTAACACCGATTTCTCTTTTTGAAACACATAAAGGCGTCCTAGTTTTTAATACAAAACGTAGTTAAAAACTTCACTTCACAAAGTGCTAACTCGGAAACACTTTCTAGAAACAAAATGTAGTTAAACACAACACGTACATAAACACAGCACTTATTAAAACACAATTTACTTGAATACAAGACTTACTTAAAAACAGCGATGAGGATGCTAAACAGTAGAATATTGATGGTGAGAAAATAAATGCCCAATAGGACTGGAACGAAATATCTCCCCGTCCCTGTGGGGCATCGAAGTTGTTCGTAGTCCTCGTACAGGCTGGGGTCGTTGGTGCACGTTGGCTCATCTTTAGATGTGAATAATATGGTCGACATAAATTCTTACACAAATACGGCAACTACATGTTATTTTAAGTGTATATGTCTATATGCATTCATGTGTAGTGTCAAATGTTTGGAATCTTACTTTGGAATGAAAAAATATGCAAAAGTTGATTACAAAAACATGTTTTAGTTTATCTAACCTATAATTGTGGGGTCTAAAACTGGGTGTATTTACAATACAAGTTTTACGTATCGGCTATATATATGTTCTCTTTCTCACATTGCCAAGCATATTACTTCAAGTAGTATTATCCATTCAAGAATATACGACATATGACTCTAGGTAATTTCAATGTTTAAGTAAACTTTTGATTGACAAATTAAAAAAAAAAAACCAGAGAAAACGTACTTAGGAAAAGTGAATACTATTATTTTAAAACGTGTATTTTTAAATATATATTTATGTGGAAAAGGTATTAAACCTTTTTAATCTTAAAAAATACAAAGTAAACATTCTTTACCAATGTCACCCTCCTGACTTTCTAGCTCGTTCAGAAAAAATTCCCCGAACATTCCCCAAAATGCTCTGCGTGCTACGTAGTAGGCCAACAAGGGAGTGAGCTTAGATCTGGGATACAAGACGGACTCAGAGGCGACGGCGTAAGAGAAAAAAATTACAAAGATGATCACCATAAACTTGAGCAGTTTCTCCACCTGCATATAATAGAATTGGTGCGGAATTCATATTCAAAAGAGCAAAGTGGACTATTAATTTCAGCATAACTAAACCATCAATATAGCATCAAATGGTACGTGATATTTACTAAAAAATGGTAGCTGCAGTGATGTTTATGCAAATAAAATGCGCAACCGCCTGTCAAAGAATATCACCAACAGGTTCGGTAGGTATTATACAAAGTTCGCGTTATTGCATTACGAGTTATTTTACCCTTCATGTTGAATCACTCCAGCTGCCTATGGGAAACCTCAAAATTGACAATCAATTTTACTGTAAGTCCGATAATGTAGTTTACGTTATCCAGGCGATGGGACATCTTTTAATGTCTAACAGGGTCTCATGAAATCGTTCACACATTTTAGCGACAAAAGCTTTTATGAAAGAAAGCAAATACGTTTTGTTTTCTTATTTTCAGTGCATTTAATTTTGAAGCTTGCTATTAGAAATGATTTTTATCTTAGTTTTATTTTCTACTTTTTAGTAATTCATAAGGCTACTACTCACAATATTTGCTAAAAAACACCATCAGTAGCTCGCGATGTTTGAAACCCGATTATACATTTTTTAAAATGCTTGAGTTAGAACGACCATTATAGACGCGACATGAACTTAATTAATATTTAGTAAGATCCACAACTCTGGTGCCGTAATGTAGAGTTTACATTTTAGATTGAATTTCAGTTGTATTATTGAGATCCTGTAATATTCATTAACCTTTTTCTTATACAGTAGATATAGTTTTTAGTGTACATGGTTCTGTTACACATTCTCTTAAGTTTTTCTTTTTTTCTTGTTTAAGGTGATGATTAGGCTTACAATTTTTTGTTATAGAAGTATAAAAAGTTACTTACCATATTTTTAAACATGGCCATGAGTGGTCCAAAGAACTCACTGGAGTAACAAATCTCTAGAAGACCAAAAGAAAAGCCAATGTAAGAGATTCCAAGTAAGACGTGGGTGTAGTTGGTATTCGTCACTTCTGTAGGGTCGTAGAAAACTGCAATACGAAGTCCATAGCCCGCAAAGAAGAAGGCAAATGATATCAGTTTCACCACCAAGAATAACTGCAGCCATTTGAAGAGTGGGTTTCTCAGATACTAAACAGATACATGAAAAGTTGCGTTATTGTTGAAACAAGATTTGAGAAAGTTTGAACATTATTGTTTTATTGCCTTAATTCAACTATAGTTGTGTTAATACTTTCATTATATTGCATAGCATACATTAAAAATATCAATTTGTCATCGCATCAGTATTTTATATATATATATATATATATATATATATATATATATATATATATATATATATATATATATATATATACATATATGTTAAATATCTATCGAGATAGGGTAATATTAAATATTAAGTGAGATAGGCTAGAGTATTCTGCAGGTTTTTTCAGGATAGTACCCCTACACATTGGTAAAATAATCACAACTACATTTTCTTTTCTTTTGTAGAAAAAGGGCTGGTTATTTTTTTTTAAAATATTTTTCACATAATGCTACCAAAGTTTTCATTAAAAAAAAGTATATTATCCATGTGTCTACCTGGTTGAATTCCTCACAAATAAAGCTGATTATCCACGCCCACACCAACCATTCCAGCCAATGGAAGGAAGCGGGTTCAAGCACAGAGACAAGCAGCATGGCGTAGAGAACAAGAAACACCAGGTGGCCTATCTGGATGTGGGAGACAATAAATAAATAAATAAATAAATATATATATATATATATATATATATATATATATATATATATATATATATATATATATATATATATGTGAGAGACAAGATGTATATGTGACATATGGACTATCTGGATGTGGGAGACAAGATGTATATGTGACATATGGACTATCTGGATGTGGGAGAAGATATTTATGTGACATAGCAGGTGAGATGTGCGATACAAGAGGCCGTGTCTATTTTAAAGTCACATAATTAGTCTTTAATCAAAGCTGATAAAACAAGCACTTTGTTTGGAGATCCTAAATCTTACCCCAAACACACTATTACAAACACAAGGCCCAATCGCACTCTAATCAACATGTTCAAAACTGCACTTTTTAACGCAATTTCCATACTGGCAATTGCGTTTAATAATTCCTCATTTCTGGATGGATGGATGGATGGATGGATTGATGGATGTGTGGATGTGTGTCCGCAGCTTTAAGTCGTATCTCCTCCTCAACGAAGCAACATCGAGGACTAGTTCCAAAGCAAATATGTTAAGCAAGTTTCGAGGATGATTGTGGGCCCAAAAAATTAGCGGAATTTCTTCCTGGATTTCCCGGAAAAGCAAAAAAAAACTCGAAAAAAAAATGCAGTTTTTGGCCCATATCTCGGCAACCAGACCACTTAGCGACTTGAAACATTTACCAATCGATTCCTGCCATAATTTAGAACAATATTGCCGAAGAAAGTTTTCAAAAATATCCTTTCGTTTGGTCACAAAAAATTAATTAAGAATTTTTAAACTGAGCATCGTGTAGGCCTAGGATAATATTTTTAATTTAAACTGAGCATCGTGTAGGTTTTTAGCGCAAAAAAATATCCTTTCGTTCGGTCACAAAAAAATAAAAATTGTTATGGATACATTTGTATTAACTTGTTTACTTAATACATGTCCATGCGATTGTGTAAATTAGGTGAAGCTGAGAGGTAAGGGAATAGTGTTTTGGTTTTGCGCACAAATGTCTAGTTTATGATTGCTGACACAAGTACTTAAAACTAACCTCACACAATTCACACTTTAAGAATTCTTTACGTTATAGCAGATATTTTTAGCCTAGGTTTCATCGAACCCCTGGGAATCAGCGAGTCCGTATTAATTTGTATTTATTGCAGGATATTATTTCGTATACGAAAACTGAAATAAGGAATTTTATAACACACAAAACAACAAATATGTACAATCGGAAGGAAGAATAAATTATCTTACCAATTGCAGCAGAACCAGGACTGATGGCGCCAAAAATTTTCTTAAAATCAGATCATACTTTCTGATCGAGCAGCAGCATGACATATAGATAAAGGCCCAACTATGGATGAACAACATCAATTTTCACGTGATGAGCGAATTATAACATAAATAACTATTTTATTATAAATAATAATAAAAAGCTTACAACGAAAGCTTGGCCAACATTTTATGATCTTTGCAAGTGTCGCATACCTGTTGAAAAATTAAATAGTAATAGTAGGGATAGAAATAATACACTGTTAACATTATAAATGAAGTGTGCACAATTGGAAACAAATTCTGAGATGGCTAAAAACAAAACGCTAGTAGAAAGTTATTCATCACTAAGAAAACCAAAAAAAAAACGGGTTTTTAATCGATTTTTTAGATGGCATATGTTTGTTAGTTCGGGCGGCACTGTCTAGCAGGTACGATTGAGTCCTGAATGTATCAACTAGAGATTGTAAACAATAACTCCATAGCAAATGCCTTTAATTTTAAATTCTCAAACGTGTGGCTGATAAATTCTTAAATACTTTAAGTTACTATTTTGTTTTTTAAAATTACAAAATCGTTCCTCAATGCATAATCTGATGACGTTTATTTCATAATGCAGAAATATATTGTAATATACTGATATAAGTTTAATTGATTTAATGTTATGCACGAGGAACTGTGCAAGGGTGTAATTTACCTTAGTGTTACATTGTAATACCGGAGACGGAGATATAACAATATCCTTAAGCACTATGAATTTCAGAGTTATCGTTCTCACAAAAAATCTATTTAAAATTGTTAGATAACACATTGACACGTCTGGCTAATTGATTGTTTTTAAAACTTATTTCAAGACCTAGAATTACAAATAATGAAGAACACGAAAGGGATTTACCTAACAAAATTATATATTTGTATTTGTCGCTTTTTTTATTAAGGTTGGAGGGGGTGAAGAAGGAGGAGAGAACGGCAGGCGATAATATGTGCGACATTTGTCTATACATTTAGTAAAAATTAATATAGGATAGGGACTGAATAAAAATGACCCGTTTTATAAATATATGCATGGTCCGTATTTACCCTGCAATGCTCTAGTTTTCCTGAATGTTCTCCAATATTTCCTTTAGCAGATCTATGAAAACTTCCGCCCTGGGCCTCTTTGTTGTGAACTTGTGTACTTTCGTTTTCTTCTGATTCCTCCTTCACGTGCCACATGCATTCGTTCTTGACGTGAGTACCCCAGTTCCACAAGCGATCGTTGAGTTCCGTACACGGCGTTTGTGACAAGAAGTTTAAGTTGTAGTTGTTGATGGCCAGGTAGATGCATGTTGTGTTGCCCCATTCTGGCATGCTGAAGATCAGAAGTCGGATAGTTTCTTCGGGGTATTTCTTGTAGGTTCGCATTAGCGTGTCCACAGCGTACTTTTCAAAATCCCTATGTTAATAAAATAAATTACATAAAAGTATTCACCTTGCTGTAGAGTAAATACATGCAGCATAATATACTTAAAAAACTGGTTCCGAAAGGTTCCAAATTTGTGTTGCCTAAAAGCACATTTTCTAACCAAAATTGAATATTTTATAACATTTGTGTAATAGGTCCAAAACTAGAAATAGTCATAGAAATAATTACTAGTAATATAATAGTAATTTGGAGAACGATTTTATTTTAAATTTGGATTAGCAGAGTCAGCGTGTTGAGGTGATTGGGGATGTTATATTATTTAATATAAATACAATACTACGCTAATAGATCACTATTTTGTATTTTTATCATGGAATACACTTGTTCTGACTTTTATTATTTTACTCTCCATGGACATTACGGTTGACTTCAAGGTGAAGTCGATGTCAGTTTTTGAAAATATTTGAATTGATAATATAATTATAAACGGCTTTTCAACAGCTTATATTCAATACATGAATAAATATAAAAAGAGTGTAATCGATGTTTCTCAAACGGCTTTAATTTTTACAAATGCAACTATAATTTTATCACTTGCCATATTTTTAAAAAGAATTTAAAAAAAATTTAGTATGATTACATAGACTTTTCATACCAATTGTTTCACCAGAAGCTACGTCTATTAATATTACATAAACCTTTTTCTAGGTAAATAAATTGAAATTAAGCCTGAATAATAATTTATAACGTCCCGGAGTCCACCCAGCCCTGATGGGTACCTGATGCACGTTACGGAAAGTAATGACGGTTAAGCCTAGTGCTGACGCCATATTCCTTAATATGTGAGGTCACAGAGAAAGGAAACTCTACTTCAGGGGTTCCCAACCTTTTTTTACTCAAGAGCACATTCTAAAATATCGGTAGGGTGGCGGGCACCACCTATTTTAAATCGACAAACTCCTTCCAGAGGCGTAGCGACCCTTCCCGTCACCCGGGGACAAAAGTTTCGATTTGCACCCCCCCCCCCTTCCAACTTACGATTTGCACCCCCCCCCCCCTCAAATTTTTGATTGCACACCCCCCCCTCAAACTTTCGATTACCATCCCCTTCAACCTTTCAATAATGTTTATGAAAAAAATTCTGTCTCTGTCGAGTAGTGAGAGGCGGGCACATACGTATCGTTCAGCGGGCGCCATGGCGCCCGCGGGCACGGGGTTGGGAACCCCTGCTCTACTGCTCAGCCAAAATACTAGCGGTAGACAGATTTATTTTAGTATTTAATCAAAAAAATTTTGTGATGTACAAGTTTCCATTAGCAATATAAATCTCGAGACACTTAATATTGTAAAATCATATTGTTACATTTAATTTAGACTGCATTACATTGTTGATGATATATATATATATATATATATATATATATATATATATATATATATATATATATATATATATATATATATATATATATATATATATATATATATATATATATATATATATACAAAGAATATAACATGTTGAACATATACTTATAGTATTCTTTTAACTGCTGCACTTTGTCTTCATTAGTCTCATGTTCTCTTAGTACTTTCAGTATCCCACAGGCATACAATGCAGCCCCTGTTGGGTGCTGATAACATAAAATTACAATGTAATTATACTTACGACTTGTTTCTTAATCAATTGTCGGAAAATTATTAAGTCATTGTGGTAATAAGATTGGGGCAGCCACGAAATGTTTGTATGTATGTATATATATATATATATATATATATATATATATATATATATATATATATATATATATACACATATATATATTCAAATAGATATAGATACACATTAAAGTTTATCCTCCACTAATTCATTCTTAACCTGAAAATATATGTTTAATTTAATCACCGCAACTTACAGAAACTCTCCGCCATAGTACCTTAGCCAATTTAATTTTTCTGGCCCGAACAGACTTTTTAAATAACTTGTTGGCTGGAAAACAAGTAGACTATGTCACATTATCTTAAATAAAAAATAAAAAACTATGTATAATATTCTACGAAAAAATGTAATAAAATTAAGTATATAAGATTTTATTTATAAAGTATACGCCACTCAAAATGAGACACAAAATCTTACAATATGATTTTACGTAAACAGTAATTTTAAAAAGTAAAACGAAAAAACAAAACGCCTAAAGTTTCCGAATAACAATGAAAATCAAATGGTCCATCGTGTTGTTGCGCTGAACTGAATATATTGTATTGTCTACCTAAGACTAATGACTCAATGTGATCTCACCGGCATGTAATGTCTTCTGGTAACCTATACCCCTACCATCCTTACAGGTGACAATATATCTTTTTTTTATATCAGCCTACCTATGTCTGTGAAAAAAGATTTATTCTTTATAGTTTGAGCTTCTAACGTATGATTGTCTTCTGACGAGGTATCAAGTAGACACATGTTTTCGATAGACGATGAAATTTTCGCTTGTATCGTTTCTTGTGTACAGTTGTGCGAGGGCATCTACAACATAGATGTGTATGTTATTTGCGCATCAAAAAGCTTATGTAAAAAAATATGCATATGTTATATTAATATAATGAAGTTAATATAATTTTAATATGTACACTTGTGGTTTTATAAAAAGAAAAGACATCATGTTTATTAAAATCGGTATTTTTTTTAAAATGGACATAGTTGTGGATCACATATGACTTGAACCTTTTTGAAATGTAGCTATGTAACTGTCAAATATAATTACTCACACATATCAGGAATCTACAAAATCTTGTCCAAAAACTGGTTTTCTTTGAAGTTGCATCTCCTTGGCATTTGCACTGAGACAAAATTATATTCTGTTATTTCAATTATGTTTATTATATTTACATTGTGACTGTTAACAGTAAAGTCACGAGTTTAGATCCCGGACTCGATTCCACAGGCAGGCAGGAAAACAGGTAGGTAGGTAGGTAGGTAGGTAGGTAGGTAGGTAGGTAGGTAGGTAGGTAGGTAGGTAGGTAGGTAGGTAGGTAGGTAGGTAGGTAGGTAGGTAGGTAGGTAGGTAGGTAGGTAGGTAGGTAGGTAGGTAGGTAGGTAGGTAGGTAGGTAGGTAGGTAGGTAGGTAGGTAGGTAGGTAGGTAGGTAGGTAGGTAGGTAGGTAGGTAGGTAGGTAGGTAGGTAGGTAGGTAGGTAGGTAGGTAGGTAGGTAGGTAGGTAGGTAGGTAGGTAGGTAGGTAGGTAGGTAGGTAGGTAGGTAGGTAGGTAGGTAGGTAGGTAGGTAGGTAGGTAGGTAGGTAGGTAGGTAGGTAGGTAGGTAGGTAGGTAGGTAGGTAGGTAGGTAGGTAGGTAGGTAGGTAGGTAGGTAGGTAGGTAGGTAGGTAGGTAGGTAGGTAGGTAGGTAGGTAGGTAGGTAGGTAGGTAGGTAGGTAGGTAGGTAGGTAGGTAGGTAGGTAGGTAGGTAGGTAGGTAGGTAGGTAGGTAGGTAGGTAGGTAGGTAGGTAGGTAGGTAGGTAGGTAGGTAGGTAGGTAGGTAGGTAGGTAGGTAGGTAGGTAGGTAGGTAGGTAGGTAGGTAGGTAGGTAGGTAGGTAGGTAGGTATGTAGGTAGGTAGGTAGGTAGGTAGGTAGGTAGGTAGGTAGGTAGGTAGGTAGGTAGGTAGGTAGGTAGGTAGGTAGGTAGGTAGGTAGGTAGGTAGGTAGGTAGGTAGGTAGGTAGGTAGGTAGGTAGGTAGGTAGGTAGGTAGGTAGGTAGGTAGGTAGGTAAGTAGGTAGGTAGGTAGGTAGGTAGGTACTTAGGTAAAGTGGGTAGTTCAAATTTCACTTGGTTAATTTTAAACTCTAATTAACTAAATCTCAAATGTAACTACTCACACTATACAGGATTTTCCATATTCTTGCTGCTGTCTTGAATTTGCACTGTCAAAGATATATTAATTTTGTTCAAATACTTTTATTACTTTTAGGTGTTAGGTAGGGAAGTAGTCTCGTTAGGTAGGTAGGGTAGGCAGGTAGAGTAGGCAAGTAGAGTAGGCAAGTACGGTACGGTGTGGTGTGGTATGGTAGGGTAGGGTAGGGTATGGTAGGGTAGGGTAGGGTAGGGTAGGGTAGGGTATGGTAGGGTAAGGTAGGGTATGGTTGGGTAGGATAGGGTAAGGGAGGGCTATTGATTATATGCATTTACTATGTGGTGATTTGTATACAAGGAACCAGATAACACACACATATACTTGACACTTACTGGATATATGCACCTGATGATTCTATTCCAAATTCGAACACATATACATTCTTTACTCTCGTTAAGTTCTGTATTTTTCTAAAACAAAACAAAAATACAATTTTTATTATATAAATATTAGCCGTCCATGCCAGACCCTGCACTGGCCTCTGTTAAAAACCTATGTGTAAATAAGGGGTCTCCAAACTTTTCAGCCCTAAGACCGCATTAGCTATCAAATATCAGTTCGAAGGCCAGAGTTTTTTTAGGCATCTAATTGTCCCGCCTCCCTTTTCCCGGAGAGAAAAAAGTCTGAAAGAGCCAACAACACACTCGAGGTCCAAGTTTGTTCTCAAATTGTTCTTTACTTAGTTTTATTGAAAATTGAAAATGTTTGTTCACACAGGCAAGTTGTTGCAAAATTTGAAAGGTACTTCGATGCATATATTTAAATATTTGGAAATTCTTCATTGGGCAAAAATTTATAAAAACCCAACCGCCCTTCTTTGAACTGGTCTCTATGGCGTTCATTTGCTTGCAGTTCAGTGACCTCCAGCTGCAGTTCAACTGGCCTATTGGTCATATTTGCTTAAAATGGGTTTTGAAACAGTCTCAGTTTTTCTGCCTTTGAATCCAAGCCAGAAAGCCGCTACTGAAACTGCAGCAGGAGGTCCTTGAAGATCTCGCATGCAAATGACCCGAGGGACTCCGCTGTTGCGTCAGCCATGAAGACCTTTTGCCATACATGTTATGTAGGGAAGCCAGCTCTTGTGTTATGTTCGTGTCTTAATCAACAACTGTAATGAATACAAGCATTTGAGAGGTCAGCTGTCCAGGATTCATCCATTGCAATTGAAAAATTGCGGAATTTGTTTGCATTTTAAAGCAAGCGCAAACTAAAACGCCAACGCCAATACAAACACAAAAACAAACGTAATACAAACGAAAACACAAACATAAACGGAAACATAATCTATAATCTATCGCACTGTATAAAATGAACGTATGTACCATAGCGCTCACAGGATAGCCCATGTGCCAAATCGGACCCTGCCTGGGCGCCGGCGGACGTGCCTGATTCAATTTAAAGAACGATTATAATACTCATAGCTCTTCAGCAAAATAAGAGATAGAAGTAAATATAGAGGACATTTAGGATGGGCTTCTAAACTGTTATTGATTATTAAAAATAATTACTAAATAGTGCTTTCAGTGTCTAAAATAAACAAAAGGCCAATATTTAAAATATACGTGTTTTACCTACCACAGTGCACTTTATCAGTTGATTTATGTAATTTTTTTTTTCTACAAATTAATTAAAAGTATTTTTTCCCCGATGTACTCAATCATACCACTATTGTTTGCAATGTAAAAAAAAACTTGAGAAGGCTTACCTGTGTTTATTTAATGCAATAAGTGAAACTGAATCATACTGAAACCAACCCACCTTTTCAGAATTTTTAAAAGTTGTTCCAGGCAAGTGATATTTACAATGGTGTCTGTTCTGTAAATAATGAAACTCTTTTAAAAATTTAAAGCTTAAAAGATCTGGAAATTTCATACAATGACAAAAATTGTACTTATTGTTCTAAAATATTATGTTAACCCCAAACATAAAGACATGTAAATTACAAACATTTTAGTTGCGTAGAAAAGACAAATTAATTTATATACATATTTTTTTCGATAACGAAAATGCAAGGGCATTATAAGGATAATAAAAGTCCACCCGCCCTGTAATTTCCAGCTTGGTTGACTATGATTAAGAATTTTACAGATTCAAACTAAACTCAGTATTTCACAAGCCTTATCTTTTAGACTATACATGTCTAGAGCTTTCGCTTTCCTATAATAAACACCAGGTATAGAAACTTTATTTATCAATCGATTACAGCCAAGCATAAGTGTTTTCTAAAAGGTTTCAGTATGACAATGTGGAAGTTAGTATGGCTCTAACGATATTCGATACTGTTAATATGCTATTACATTATATTCCTTACTTTAGAAAATACACCCTGGTCGATGTATTCCAAAATATGTAAGTCCTCTTCAAGTATCAAGCGAATAAAATCCGAGCAGTCATCTGCAACGGCTTGATTTATGACTTGACTTGTAAGCTCTGAATCCTAACAGTGAATATAAAAAGCTATACAAAAACTATAGCTTAATATAAAAAGAAAATAACAAACTTCAATATTGATATAATATAGTGAAATTATTAGTTTGATTATAATTTGAAATTATAAAAAGTATCACTTTTAATAACTTAAAATCAATATAACACACACACACACACACACACACACACACACACACACACATATATATATATATATATATATATATATATATATATATATATATATATATATATATTCGAATTATAACTGTGAAGAATTTTTTTAAATAAATTCAATGACGTATTAAATACTCCACTTACCCATTGCCAGATATCGGCAAATTCCCGAGCTTTTTCGAGGCAATTTACTTTCAGACACAGCAAAAAATACTCTAACGTTTTTGATGCTTTCCCTGTTGCGGCTGTTTGGTCAGTGGGTAGTTTCGTGTTTGTGGTGGGCTGGTCATCGGTGGAAAACTTGACTTCAGACAAAGATCGGCTAGTGTCAGGCACAGATTGGTCTCTATCAGAATACGAACTGCTTGTTGTTTGAGAGTTGAGATTCCCATCTAGTCTATGGTTGTTAAGAGCTGGAATTGTTTCTGAAAATATCAGATGAATGAATGTATATATACACACATATATAAATATTTATAAATAAATAAATAAATAAATAAATAAATAAATATATATATATATATATATATATATATATATATATATATATATATATATATATATATATATATATATATATATATATATACAGATAGATTTATTTTTCTGGCAATGTGTAAAAACTGGCATTCTTTAGAATACCTAGGCAATGTATACACTGCCTGAAATGGGTCATCAAAGTATGACGCGGTTGTTTATGTCCAGGGGGTTATGTCCAGGGGGTTTGACAGGGAGCTACTTACTTCTAATAGCCGACAAGATAATTCTTGCGATATCGTCTTTTTCTTTGTCATAGCGTCCTTCTATAGTAAATATTGATATCAGTTTCTCTTTCAGTTCTTTCGTTAACATTTTCAAGCTATAAAGATAAATGCCAAATAATAACTATTTAAATTGTGAACATTTGTTTTTAATAACATAATAAACAAATTAGAAGATTCAACATTTTATTAAAAAAGAACAGTGAATCTCCATCCATCAATAGTATAAAGTACACTCCGTTTGAGATTAATGAAACACAAATAATTACGCAATAGTATTAGCGTGTGGTACCTCAACATATGAGATACTTTAGAAAGAGCTAAAATTCTATTTGACCATACGAGTAGAGTACCTGTGTTAGAAGAATTAACTGTCATTTGAAAAAAAACAAGCACATAATTCATTACTGATTGTGCATGAAAGCTATTTAAGGACACTGTACAGGTTTATTTAAACGGCCTGTTTGGAAAAGTCGAGAAAGTATGGAAAGCGTCGCAAAAAAATAAAACAAATTTCAACGAAGAGAAAAGTAGTTACGAAAACTAAGCTAAACTAACAAAACAGTATAATAGTGTAACATTAGGTTTAATTATGAAATTTAAGTTTCGATACATATAGGGATAAAGTGTAGCGCAAAGAGTAAACGTCCTCTGCCTATCTCCTCAACACTGTAAAACGAATTTATCTCCTTGCATTACCTTTATCATGTTATTAAACAATATTTTCATTTATAAATGCACTTGTTTTATTTTTTTAAAAATACATATCAAAGCAACTTGGGTTGCAAATAGGGTCGCATTTTACGGACTTGAAAAAATTAACGGCATATCAAATTAATTTCATTAAAACAACTTGCTTAAGGTACTTTAGTAATCTATTATTACATATTAGTTTTGGTTTAAATACCTGTCAAGCTTTTTCCACAACGCTTCTGTACTTTTGTCAATGTCCTGCCATGGGAATAAACATTTATTTTTAAATACATACAAATACACACAGAAAAATAAAGTCGTTTCACCTAAGCTATCACGCATATATTGTTACATAACCTTAAGTGAGCGGCTTTTCCATAGCTGTCAATATGTTTTTCAATTTTTTTTAAAATAGTTACATGTTTAAACAAATATAATAGCGCAGGAAAAGGGAATCGGGCACCAAATGAATAGTGTGAGTAAAATAGAAAGTGACATTTTTTTTTTCTAAAGGAAATATTAATTGGCTTTTTTTTTAATAAATCTGAAATAGCGTTAAATACTACCTCCCGTAACCGGATATCGTTAATGTATCAATAGAAAACAGCGAATAAGATACGATCATATAACTATGTATGAAATTTCGTCTAGCTAACTGAAACTGTACTCATGCTATGTTGTATTTTAATCTTTTTCGAAACCAGAAATATAGTAGGCCTACCAATCTAGTAAATTGGATGTCATTAAAAATTTAAAAGTGATTAAAGTAGGCTACACGATCTTTGACTTCCATACGAAATGTCGTCAACTGAACGAATTCTTAAGTTATTGTGTTCAATATTAACGGAAATTGTTCAAAATTTTTAAAGAATCCGGAATATACACGCTAACCTTTTTATGTTAAATTTGTTTAACCTAAATTCAATGGTACTTAATTTTTCACCTCTAAAGATGCTGGAAGGAAAGTAGTTACAGCTCCATTTACCGGAAATCGGTTATAAAATAAAACTATAACTTTAATATAATATTTCAATATGATATTTGATCATCATATTAAACTGTAATCAAAAGTTTACAGACACACATACAGAGACATTGAAAAACTAAGTTTGTTTAAAATTTATGAAAATCTCGATTTAGATTTGTTCACGATTACAATACACATTATAGGGAGGTATAAAAGTGAAAAAAGTTGTAAAAAATTAATCTAATTATTGTTTACGTTTACAATACTTTCTCTATACTCTGCATATGAGAAAGTAATGATTCACAAATATACACAAAAAAACGCACAATTTTAAAAAAAAATAATATTAAGTAGACCTTCATTAGGACAACTGGTATGTTTGATTTGCATTGATAGACTATAGACTCGAAGTCGCGGTTTGTGTCGTTCATAAAAATAGCTGATTGAAATGTTATTTTGTCTGAAAAGAAAAGCATACACATAGCATTCTGTCAATATCTTTATATATATATATATATATATATATATATATATATATATATATATATATATATATATATATATATATATATGTAGCCTACATTTAGCTTTTTCTAGATACATAGAAATATTGGTTTAATATTTCATTCATAACCAGAACTAGACTACCCGTTATCTAGTTAGATAACTGTGGGTTTCGGGGGGTCATCCATAAATAACATCACGTCTGCCAGCACTTATCATCCAAAAATAACCAGACCCCACAGACGTTTTTTATATTTTAAAAACTCTACTAAACTCTACTTCACCTGCCCAGTGCACCGCCAAGTCTCAGACATGTTTGTATTTTTAAAAAAAAAACGATTCCGGCTGAGCATGGCTCTAACCACACTATTCCTTTCATATGATGAAAAAAATAGAAACAGGTGAACTCTACTTCACCTACCCTGTGCCCCGCGAGGTCCTGATAGTCAACCTTATCATTCACATATAGGCCTTAAGAAAAAATAATTGAAAACATAGTTGTAAAAAAAAGGTCATTGTTCTAAACTTTTATAATTAATGTGGTGAATCTACAAATGAATATATCAATAAATTAATTAACGGCTTTAAATTAGTTTGTAATTAACAGTGCATTTAAGAAGGAACAATATTTACCACCTAAAATCTTATTTTACAGCTCTACACATAATGCAGATTCTCCCCAATAACAAATCAAATAAACAAACAAACAAAAAAATTAGTTATCAAACGTCACTATTCAGTCAAAGTTTAGTCATTGTTCTAAAACTTTAAAATTAATGTGGTTAATCTATCTGTGAATAAATCAAAAAATTAATTAACGTCTTTATATTAATGTGTGATTAACAGTCTCTCTGCAATCAAATTATTCTCTACCGACATACTATTTTACAGCCCCCATATAGAGCAGTTTCCTTACAGTACCCAATCAGACAAACAAAAAAATAAATATTCAAACATGTAAACAAACTTGAGTTTTAGTAGTACAATCATAATATTATTCAAACACATTTGCGTAGAATCGAATATTGCTATCACATAACAAATAAAAAATTCTATACTTGTTTTAAACGCCTCAAGATTATTTTGCTCTTCATTCTTTAAATATCTGTTTCCATCTAAGTCGAATAGGAAGTAATCTTTGCAGAAGTCCTGGGTATTATAACACAAATGTAATTAATTTTTATTAGCTGTACATTAATTTTTTGATTCATTATTCAACATTTCAAGTACCTGAAATTTTTATTTTCTAGAATACTAAAAATGTTTTTATGCGCCGGCGCCCGGACATTGTGCAATTTGTCGCCCCGAGCTAGACTGTGAGCACTGTGCGTTTATGTTTGCGTTTGTGTTTTCTTTGTATTTGGGTTTGGTTTGCGTTTGTGGTTGGGTTTGTGTTTGGATTCGGTTTGTTTTCGCTTTCTTTGTTTGTTTGCGTTTGTGTTTGTGTTGTGTTTGCGTTGGCGTTTATGGCTGGGTTTGTGTTGGTGTTTTCGTTTGTGTTTGTATTTGTGTTTGCGTTTGTGTTATGTTTGCGTTTTTGTGTTTTTGTTTTAGTTGGTTGTGGTTGGGGTTGGGGTTGGCAAGGTCGTGTATCTGCTGATTACTAAACACACATGTCACGGTCCTTTACCGATAGGTTTTTCACAAAGGCCAGTGCAGGGCCTGGCCGGGACGGCTAGTGATATTTTAAAGTTAATACTATTTTAAAGCAACCAAAGTATGATACATTTTGGCGTTTTCCCCTTGGAACACAACTGGAGCGTCCGAATATTGCTGGGTCGTGTTCTTTTGCTTCAAAAGATGATTGGATCAAACATTTGTGGACGGATTTTAGATAATCTTCGCTATTGCTTTCTACAAACAGCCAAAATTCTGAAAAAAATGTATGTAACATGGATTGAAATTTATACTTTCGAATTATCTTTATATATATATATATATATATATATATATATATATATATATATATATATATATATATATATATATATATATATATATATATATATATATATATATATATATATATATAAAGTAACATGTAAGCTCTGAGAAAGTACAGAATACACACAAAAACGATGGCTGATATAGCCAAATAAATAATATCCAAAATAATACACATAGGGCTTTTTTGCTTAGCTGTACCGTTGTTTACAACAAATTTTAGCAAATCCTTTATGAAGTCGTTTCTTTCTGAATAGATGCCGGTTCCATCGTTCGTGTTTGCAAACAAATAAAGGGCCAACTGGGAAATATAAAAAGGCGTCGTACAGTTTATATGTGTATTGCATATGTTAAGATTATGGATAAATTTAAACTACAATTTAAACTTTTTAAATGTATTAACAGTATAATGCAGGAGTGGGCAAAGTGCGGCCCATGGGCCACATGCAGCCCGCCACAGAGTTTTTTTTGGCCCGCCAGACACCCAGAAAACCCCGTCTTGAACTGAGATTTGCTTCATGTCCGCGACCGAAAGTTCGTCTCGTGTTTTTTTCTATTAGAGCGTCTATGTCAATGAGCTTGCGCAAGTACTGAAAATACGTACTTTCCGGTTTGTAAGTTTGATTTCAGTTTTGTCTATGCAACATTTTAAACGATGCGGCCCTCCGCTAAAATCCGCTACCACAAAGTGGCCCTCGAGCCAAAACATGTGCCATCCCCTGATATAATGCTATTCGTAAAATAAATGTTATAATTATTTTTACCTTTGTTGATATTTTTATGTTCCACTCTTTTTTAAACAATTGTTTTGAATCTTTTGTGAAAACCTTACTGGATTTTCTTGTTGATTTTTTTGGTAACCTTTTTGATGAATTTCTTGTTGATTCATTTGTAAAACCAACGGTTAGCTCTTTTCTAAAACCATTTTTTGACTCTTTTGTTAAACGGTTTGTTGGTGCTCTTGTAAAATCAATTGTTGGCTCTTGTGCAAAACTATTTGTTGCCTCTCTTGTAAATCTATTTGTTGACTCTTCTTTAAACCCATTTGTTGGCTCGTTTGTAAAAAAATTTGTTGGCTCTTTTGAAAAACCATTTGTTAGATCTTTTGTTAAGCTATTTGTTGGCTCTTTTGTAAAACCATTTGTTGATTCTTGTGTAAAACTATATGTTGGCTCTCTTGTAAAATCATTTGCTGACTCTTTTGTGAAAGCATTTGTTGGCTCTTGTGCAAAACTATTTGTTTGCTCTTTTGTAAAACCATTTGTTGGTTCTTGTGTAAAACTATATGTTGGCTCTCTTGTAAAATCATTTGTTGCCTCTTGTGCAAAACGTTTTGCTGGCTGTTTCGTAAAACTATTTGTTGGCTCTTTTGTCAACACCGGCCATGTCTGAGTCTCTATCTGAGAGAGTATTATAAACATTCTTTTATACTTTAATACAATACACATTTATTTGGAAATACTTTTTTTTCACTTATTGGAATATAGTTATTAATTCGCTTTTTTAAATTACAAAAATGGCGAACAAGTTAAACATAAAATATCTTCACATTAACTTAATACATTGCATGGTTTACAACTTTTACACTTTTGTTCTTCATATGGCTAATCTTATTTGTAAAATGCATTCCCACCGCATTACCTTTTGCTTAAAGCTGGAATAATTTTGGCTTAGATGGGTTGTCTTAGACCCGGTTTTTTCGCTCCGCTGTGAAAACAAAGTTGTTCCAAGAAAATTACGAACTATTAATATGTGAGAAAGTAAGTAAAAATATTGTATTAGCAGGAAACATTTTTTTTAAAAAATACATAACATCGAAATTTTAAAAGTATTTTACTAAATAACTTAAACATATTTTTTTACATTTTGAAACTGTGTATATTTGCGTGAATACCTCCTGTGTAAGTCTGTAAGCGATGTATGTAGAAATGCGTGTTATTTGTGTGTTTTTGAAGGATGCGTGAAGGTGTGTAATAGTGTATGTATTTTGGAGTAGGGGGTCGTCCATAAATAACGTCACACTCGTGGGGGGAGGGGGGGGTTCCGTAATTTTTTGACGGTGTGATGAGGGGGAGGGGGGGGGGGGGGTCAGATGGTGCGATGTCACACTTTTGCATTATAAAAAAGCAATGTTAGAAAACGAATTTTAGATGTTATTTCTCGTTTTAGAAAACTGTTTTAATACATTGTAATAGGAATTGATTAAAATACTCTATTTTGACAGAGTTCAGACAAGATTTTAGAAAAATATTGACGTTTAAAAAAATTCAACTGCAATTTTGAGGGGGGTTGCAAGCTGATGTGTGACGTCATTATAGGGGAGGTGGTCTGGCTTTTTGTGACCATGTGTGACGGAGTGGAAGGGGAAGGTAAAAATCTTCAAAAAACCGTAACGTCATTTATGGATGACCCCTAATATTAGTTGTTGTGCAAAAATATTTATGCTATGGATGAGTGTTGGTGTCATTTTCTTTAAGCATTTGTGTCTAGTCGTGTGTTAAAACATACCGTTGAGAGAGGCCTTTTCCGATACTTTTTAACAGGGCTGGTTATATCAGAGCCCCACTGTTTTCGTGGGGAAACTTTGTTGGTCGACGCCATTACACCTATGTTTTAACGATACAAGTATACACATTTATTTTTAAGGTAGAATCATATATATTTTAATATCCTAATATATAAAAGCCCATGTGCGCACTTCTTTCTCTCTCTCTTTATGTTCGCAACATTTGTTAGGCAATGTGATCTGTAAGTTCAACAATATATGGAGAACTTAAAGATACTAAATTTTGTTAAAAATAATATGGTGCGTGTTTGAAATGTATAAATTAAATTTTATTTAAAGAAATAAAAATAAAGGCATATTCGAATGTAGAAACACAATTTTAATTATGCAACCGGAAAAGCAGTTATTGTTGTGAAAAAGCGCAAGAAAACAATGACGTCACAAAACTTTTTATGATGGTGTGTGACGAGGAGGGATAGGTTAAAATCGTCCAAAAAGCGTGACCAATTGGATGACCAATTTACAAAATATTTTTCTCAAACAAGTGTAACATTGAAATATATAGGCCAATAATTCACGTGTAACTGGTACCGACGGCTAGTTCATAAAATAAAAGTGAACTTAAACGTGAAGCTAAACCTTAGCTTTGACCGAAACCTTAACATTCCCCTTGATATTGATATTGATATTGATATTGATATTGATATTGATATTGATATTGATATTGATATTGATATTGATATTGATATTGATATTGATATTGATATTGATATTGATATTGATATTGATATTGATATTGATATTGATATTGATATTGATATTGATATTGATATTGATATTGATATTGATATTGATATTGATATTGATATTGATATTGATATTGATATTGATATTGATATTGATATTGATATTGATATTGATATTGATATTGATATTGATATTGATATTGATATTGATATTGATATTGATATTGATATTGATATTGATATTGATATTGATATTGATATTGATATTGATATTGATATTGATATTGATATTGATATTGATATTGATATTGATATTGATATTGATATTGATATTGATATTGATATTGATATTGATATTGATATTGATATTGATATTGATATTGATATTGATATTGATATTGATATTGATATTGATATTGATATTGATATTGATATTGATATTGATATTGATATTGATATTGATATTGATATTGATATTGATATTGATATTGATATTGATATTGATATTGATATTGATATTGATATTGATATTGATATTGATATTGATATTGATATTGATATTGATATTGATATTGATATTGATATTGATATTGATATTGATATTGATATTGATATTGATATTGATATTGATATTGATATTGATATTGATATTGATATTGATATTGATATTGATATTGATATTGATATTGATATTGATATTGATATTGATATTGATATTGATATTGATATTGATATTGATATTGATATTGATATTGATATTGATATTGATATTGATATTGATATTGATATTGATATTGATATTGATATTGATATTGATATTGATATTGATATTGATATTGATATTGATATTGATATTGATATTGATATTGATATTGATATTGATATTGATATTGATATTGATATTGATATTGATATTGATATTGATATTGATATTGATATTGATATTGATATTGATATTGATATTGATATTGATATTGATATTGATATTTATATTGACCTCGTCCTCGACCTCGACCTCGACCTCGACTTTAACCTTAACCTTAACCTTAACCTTAACCTTAACCTTAACCTTAACCTTAACCTTAACCTTAACCTTAACCTTAACCTTAACCTTAACCTTAACCTTAACCTTAACCTTAACCTTAACCTTAACCTTAACCTTAACCTTAACCTTAACCTTAACCTTAACCTTAACCTTAACCTTAACCTTAACCTTAACCTTAACCTTAACCTTAACCTTAACCTTAACCTTAACCTTAACCTTAACCTTAACCTTAACCTTAACCTTAACCTTAACCTTAACCTTAACCTTAACCTTAACCTTAACCTTAACCTTAACCTTAACCTTAACCTTAACCTTAACCTTAACCTTAACCTTTAAATGTTTCAATATGTTTATCGTTTTTTTTTTTTTTTTTAAATTGAAGAAATCTTTAACACCCGCTTACTAAACGAAATAAAACATTTTTAAAAAAATTATGATTTCCTTTTTTCAGATATATTATTTTAACATTAATTATTACTACACGGTCTCTCCATAGAGTTCAAATATCAAATAAGTTAATTTAAAATGAAAAAAAATCCAACTAAAAGTAAAGTTTCTTTATTAAGAATTAGGGATAAAGTCAAAACTCCTTTAAACAGGTTAAAACTTAACTATATTATTTATTTACCACTAGTTAGCACCAGGCTTAATAGAAGCGTAGCGAGTGGAGGCGGGGGGTACTTATGTCCCCGGGCGCCGACCTTAGGGGTCGCCAAAATAGGTTGGAAAAACAAATTAAAATGTCATTTTAGCTGCATTTTTGCCTTATAAACAGTTTGAGGGGGGGGGTGTGCAATCGAAAGTTTAAGGTGGGGGGCGGGTTAAAATTGAAACTTTGCTGAGGGGGGCGCCAAATTGAAAGTTTGTCCCCGGGCGCCGGGAAGGGTAGCTACGCCTCTCCTCTGAGACTTAATATTGAGTGAATAAAAAGATCACTGCTTTTTATTTCAAGTTAGAAATGTATTAAACAGTATTATTAAATGTCATTGAACGAGTTTTTAGAAAATCACGCAGCGTGAAGTCTCAGCTGTACACGGAAGTTCATCGAAAGAAATGCAAAGCGTCTAAATCAAACACGTTTCATTTTGACTTATTCGAATAGAGTCAACAGACCCAGTGCAAGTAGCAAAAAAGTAACAAAAAAGAATACAGACCAGGAACGTTTAGTTATAAAGAAAACTGCAACGTCAGTAATGTAATATTCAATTTATTGATATACTGCATATAATGGCTGATATATTAAAATCGTCACACGGATTTTAATATATATCGACGTATGATAAATTAGCTGTAGAGAAATAAGAAATTGCCTCTACAGCAACGCTTTTATAAGATTTTATTACACGCCTTTTTTTTAACTTTGTCTGTCGTGCTTTCTTCCCTATGGCTAGAACAATTTTGACCGCTCATACTTATTTGAAATTCTTATTTACTTCTTTTGGAGCATAGGGCCACAACCATAAACTTCTATTTCGTCCTGTCCCCAACTGTTGATTTTGGTATATTCCAAGACATCCTTGTTGTCTTTAGTTGTCGAGAAGACTTCGCCTCCAAGTCTGTCTTGTGCGCCCTCTCTTTCGTTTTCCCAGGGTTTCCACTCAAGCACCTGGTATGTCACTTTTGAGTAAGTCTTTCGCAGAGGACTCCTGTCTTGTCCATCTATATCAGTCTATATAATGCACTTTATTCTGCTAAGTTCTTTAAGACCTGGGTCTCTTCTCAATATAACAAAACCGCCTTGACATTTACATTTAGAAATCTGATTGGAATTTTTTTAGAAGATGGCAGAGGTTTTCTACATGACCGCAAAAAAAAACGTAGCGGGCTATATTAACTAGGACACGGATATTTTTGCCTCCTAAATTGATGATGTTGCTACCAAGGAGACGAGTTTCTCCACATGTTTTCTCGCCTTTCTTCTAGATTTACTGGTGCCACACGGTTATTTTTTGTTTTTGTTACCTCTCTCTCTGTTATTTGTTGATCATAACCCTAAGCGCCGTGAGGTGGCTCCCAACACATTCAATTGTTTCCAACTTATCTTGCAGCCTGTATTAAAGTAGTATACTACAACCCGCGAACTCTAGATTGTCTAGTTTTTCCGTGGGTGTCTAGTGTCTTTGTGTTCCAGAAATGGCATCGTCCGAGCACGTCAACTATACGAGAACTACACTAATAGAAAAGGCGACAAAATAGACATTCTTTTCTAACACCTATGGTGACATGGAATTCTTCCGACCGGTTCTCAGCATGGTAAAATTGGAATAAAAAGCCATTGTACAATTGCGGAATTGTTTTCACTAACTTTTCGGATACACTATAGTGTCTTAACATATTGTATATTGTTTGCCAATTTTCACTATGGAAGAACTCAAGTGGGGCTTGCCAATCTATCATCTGTTCTACAATAATTCCAAGTGGGGCTAACAAATCTATTCAAGATCTTTTCTTCCTATGCCTGCTTATTCATCTCTTAGGTTACGGTCAAATGCCTCTGTCATTCTGTCCCAAATATTACTCTGGTAAGGAGTTAACTTGCTTTGGACAACAAAGTAATACCCCTACATTTTCTACAATGTGAGATACGTTTGGCAAACTCAAAGTTGGTTGGCATCAATTAAGTACTAATAATATTCCGTACTATTATACACATATAGCTTGACGTTCACTTGGTGTGCAATTCCCCTTTCTACGAGATTCTATTATATTTTTAAAACTGTAAGTAGTTAAAAACAGATCAAAAAATTATGTCTATATCGCGAGTTGACATCCCCGTTAGCTTATATAAGAATTTTTACACAATGTTAAGGGGAGATCACTCCCGCTTTTTAAAATTTGTGTTTTTTTAGCGCTATTTCCATTCTGGAGAATTGCGTTATTAACCCGTCATTTCTGGATGGATGAATGTGTGTCCGCAGCTTTAAGTCGTATCTCCTCCTCAACCAAGCAATATCGAGGACTAGTTCCAAAAGCAATTATGTTAAGCAAGTTACGAGGATGAACATAGGCCATAAAAATTCCGGGTTTCTTTCATAGATTTCCCGGAAAAGCCAAAAAACCTCGAAAAAATGCAGTTTTTGGCCCATATCTCAGCAGCCAGACCACTTAGCGACTTGAAACATGTACCAATCGATTCCTGCCATAATTTCGAACAATATTGCCGAAGAAAGTTTTCAAAAATATTCTTTCGTTTCGTCACAAAAATATTTTTGAATTAATTAAAATTTGGACCGAATTAGTAGGCATTTTTATCCAACCACACCACACGCGTCATCACGTTCAATAGCTGCGCCATCACGTTCAA